GAGAGAGAGAGGAAGGGAGAGGGAGAGAGAAACATTGATGTGAGAGACAAATATTGGTTGGCTGCCTCCTGCACGCCCCCTACCAGGGATTGAGCCTTCAACCTGGGCGTGTGCCCTGACCAGGAATCGAACCGGCAACCTTTCAGTGCATGGATGACACCCAACCAACTGAGCCACGCCGGCCAGGGCTAAAAGTAACATTTCTTGAGCTGTCGATGCTGAGCTGCATTTACTTTGCCGCCTCCTGAGCCTCTTCTCTCCCATCAGGCTCCCATCTCCGCCCACTGAGACGTCCCTGAGAGCCGCCCGCCATCACTGTCCACACACCAGGGCCCCACTCAGCTCCCGCCTCCTCTGCCTCGAGCAGCATTTGGCTGAAGTCCTGTCTCCTTTGGAAACACGTTCCTCCCTTGGCCTCCAGGACACCGAACCTTCCAGGTTTCTTTCCACTGCGAGGGCTGTTCTTTCTCATCTTCTCTTCCCGAGCCTCTCCGTGCCGGGGTCCCCAGTCTCTGTCCTCAGTCTTTTTCTCGCCCACTCCCTGGAACAGCAGTTCTCTATTTTTGGCTCTCAGTCTGCTTTACACTCTTAAAATGACTGAGAAACCCAGAGAGCTTCTGTTTATGAGAGCTACAGCTGTCAATATTTATATATTCGAAATTAAAACTTAGAAAACTAAAGGAACATTTAATTTTTAAAATAATGATATCCATTACATGTTAACATAAATAACATTTTTTTCCCCTGTAAAAATGTTTTCCAATGCGTACCCTCAGTGAGCGAGAAGGTTAGGATCATTTTACCATTTTTCAAATCTCCGACGTCTGTGTGAACAGAAGCCCGCTGGCTGCTCACGTCTGCCTCGGCGTCCCGTCGGCTCTGATTGGTTGTTTTGGTGGAAGCATGGGAAGGAAACCTGGTCTTAAACACACACGTTGTTGGGAGAGGGAGTAGCATTTTAATGTCCTCTTTATAGAACTTTGGATAAGCAGCTTGGATGTTATACCAAAACTTGTCAAATGGTAGTTTCTTAGAGACTGACTAGCTGTATTGTGGAATCGGAAATGATATCCGTGAACTCTCTGCCCCTGGTTGCATGGACATGTGCTGGTCTACCTTGTGCTCCGAGTGGGTTGTTTCTCACGCAGAATTCTATGCATCGCACACGGGTCGCGGAGAAACGCTGGCTCGTGGAGTGATGCAGGCACGCCAGATGCTGATGCATTTACGACACGACATTAAAACCCACGTCCGTTGCCAGCGCCGCCTGCCTCATTAGCAAGGCCTTGGAATCCTCGGAAGCTGTCGAGGCCACAGAAGAGCCAAGTTTTCCAAAATTCACATTTTTCTTTGAAAGCTCAAATGTGCTGATTAGCAGTCAATGCTGTTATTTGTTTTCCTCGAAGTGACACGTTCATCTGATTCATTTTGGATAAAATATCTGCTGTATCCAAGACTGAGTAACCATAGTTTGCTTTCCAAGGTTTTTTTTTTTTTCAATAAAAAGGGTGTTCCGTGAAAAACTTACTGATTCTGCTCGCAAGCCAACACGCAGGTGCTTGACCTTAAGACAACCATCACATTTTATTTGCAGCAAAAGTGCTTCATGCAGCCTTCCCATTTCATGAGATGAGATTTAAATATATATCTATATATCTATATATCTATCTATCTATCTATCTATCTATATATATTATTGATATTTACAGAGAGGAAGGGAGAGGGATAGAGAGTTAGAAGAGAGAGAAAACATCGATGAGAGAGAAATATCGATCATCTGCATCCTGCACACCCCCTACTGGGGATGGAGCCTGCAACTAAGGTACATGCCCTTGACCAGAATTGAACCCGGGACCCTTTGGTCTGCAGGCCAACGTTCTATCCACTGAGCCAAACTGGCTAGGGCTCATGAGCTGAGATTATTTATAAGACCTGCACTTATTTTAATAGAATTAGTGACTTTTTTCTGCTTCATAGGCAACGTTTTGAAGGGAATATCTCCCCCGCCCTATTAAACCAGGAGTGTGTGCAGGTGGAGACCATAGGACTCCTAATATAGTTGGGTGCTACTGCTTTGACCCATGCTCAGATGGCAGTGATTTTACCCACCATTGCTTTTGCACCATTGGTAGAGCAAAAGGCAAATACTGTCTTAATGTTGTTGTGAGAATAGCTTTTACCTTGTGGACCTCCTTAGACACCCCTCAGGGGTCCATGGACCACACTTGGAGAATCACTAATGTAGACTATATCCTCTCCAATCAGCCTCACTCATCTGCAAAAGGCCAATGCTAATTATTTGTTTTGCAAAGTATAATTATAGGACAGCTAATCATGGACAATTATAGCACATGTAATTTTTGAATAATGGATTTAATAAGGTTATTAAGCTCATTAGTGTTTAGTACTTACATGTCTTTTTAAAAAAACCCATGAAATTAGGTTAGCAAATCTTAGCAGCAAATCCTTTCTTTCCCATTTTCTATGTTTAATGCCCCAAGTGTCTTGGTTTGCAGTCATACACTGCTCTTCAAAACTGTTCTCTCATGTGATGTCTATTGGGTCAGAGAGAATAGGTAACCTCTAACTGTCAGATTCTAGGACACCTCTCATCAAAGATGTGTGTTTAAATGTCCTTGAACAGCAGTACTGAGACACTTGTGACAATGGCTTTGTCCATTTCCTTCTAAGCGTTTGCTATGTTTCTGGCCCAGATAGCAAATTTAATGCAGAGGCAGAGGGAGCAAATTGTACTCTAGACAATTCCATCTAATTCACACCCACTTATGTGGACTCCCTGGTCTCACTCTAGGCTCTCCAGCTGGATATGGTAACTTGGTAATTGCTTTTGGTTGTTTTGGCTTTCGTAACTTCTGATGGGTAACATCAGCTTCTTTCTCCTTCCTTCTTTCCTTCTTTCCTTCTTTCCTTCCTTCCTTCCTTCCTTCCTTCCTTCCTTCCTTCCTTCCTTCCTTCCTTTTTTTTTTCCTTCCTTCCTTCCTTCCTTCCTTCCTTCCTTCCTTCCTTCCTTCCTTCCTTCCTTCATCTACGAGTGTTGCCCTATTTCTCCTCCCAGCCCCCTCTGCTCCCCACATTTAAGGAACCTCTTTATCGTTTAGCCCTGGCCTGTATAACTCCACTGACTGGACCGGCTCCTGGCCCCACTTTCAGAAGGAGGTGATTTGAACAATAACAAATGTGGTTATTTTTGTTAAGGATTTGGAGTCACCTGTCTCCCTCTCTGGAGTTTGTTTGGAGGAAAGAGTACACCTATAGGACATGAAAGGAGTACCACTGCAACTGGCAGCTGGTCAAGCACCCAATATCCCACAGGGCGGGGCTTACCAGGCATGAGCTCGACTCTCAGAGCACAGTAAGGAGACATGGCTCCTAGACCTTTTCTAGCTCTGACCCATAAAATGACATGTATTGTCTCAGGCACAGCTAGCCAAGGGGTGGGGAAAAGCATATTTCCTGGGGAGAAGCGAGACATCTCTCCCCAGGAATTTCCTCCAACGATTCTAAATCAAGAAGCCTCCTAAAGTAGGATGCCGACTTGAACATCATGTTGTTCTATAACCGCTAAGCTTGCACACTGGCGAGAACTTTAGAGACCAGGTGCAACTCAACTGCATCATGTACACGAGGCCCAGGGATGCTAACTGTCCCACCTAAGTCCACACAGACCAGACCCCTGTACCTGTAAATGCAGTTTACCTCCTAATCTGCCACACCAACTCTGGGGGATGGTAGATATCGCTTTTAAAGGAGAAGTCCTCTCTTCCTGAAGTTTGGGTATTGTTTCCTATCCTTCTGGGCCGTGGCTTCTTTAACTTAAATAGGATTTTCCTGTGAGTTAATTGCTTTTGGAGGCGATCTGAACACAAAGCACTGTTTTCAATCTTAAAAATATATTTTTGGCTTCTCATCATTTCCTTCCTAATGCCAGGTTTCTTGCCCCCAAGCTAACCACCTCATATAGGGTTTTTTCTTTTTCTTTTGTCTTCGACCAACTCAATTGCTTTCTGAATCACACTGGGAGAAAACAAAGCAAAACACATGATTTTAAGGGTTATTGCTGTTTGAATTCTCTGAAACCAGAGAGTCAAGAGAACAGATTCTGTTAATGTGTCGAAGGATGTAAAGATTCACAGAGTTGTGTTTTGGCACATTTATCTTGTATTCTTGTTACTTATACTTTTATCTCATATGTCCTACTTGAATGAGATTTGACTACAGAGATGGGACAAGCCTTATTAAACTTTAAGGCATTTATACTATCTGCACCCGATTAGGTAGCAAGTACTTAACTATTTTTAAAATAAATGAGTAAAGATATAATCAAATAAATTATTCACAATATGCAATGCCCTCCATTAAATACAAATGGGGTGCGTAAGCTATGAATGGCTGTTCCCAGGCCCCGAGTCAACACCCAATCACACATAGCAAAGTGGTTCATGCCACTCAGACTGCCCACGCATCATCTGCACCTTCCTATCTAGAGCATTGATGTCAGCATGATTCCAGGACCTTGAGCCCTGCCTATTAATTTTATGAATATTAATTTATGCCGGTAAATAATGAAATAAACTTCTTGGTCCCTTGACTCAGAAAACTTTAGCCATGTGTTGAATATTTTCTGTCAGAGGTCAACTCTACAGCCCCCTCGGTGGGAATACTCCCTTCTCGCCTGCACTGGGTGGTGGACTATGTCAGGGGTGGGTTTGTTGTGTGTCACTCATGTTCTAGAAGCCATTCCTAAACTCTACAGCCCCCTCGGTGGGAATACTCCCTTCTCACCTGCACTGATTAATAGAATTCGCATTACATCCCACTGGGTGGTGGACTAGGTCAGGGGCGGGTTTGTTGTGTGTCATTCATGTTCTAGAAGACATTCCTAATAATTCACATCTCAACATCTTAGAAGAAAGCCCCATCTTCTGCTCTATTTTTACATAGATACACTGAAATATTTGAAGGTTTGTAAACATACATACCCGCTAGTGGCGTTCAGAAATCCAGTAGCACCAGAAAGTTGGGGCCAGTCGAGCTCATCGGTAAGTGCTGTGGGTAAATTGAAGAAGGATTTCTAAAGAAAAAATAAAGGGGTGATCATCAAAATGGTCATTTGTTTTCTACAAGTAGTAAGGTTATTCATTGCCTAGGCATTGCTCTCTGTCTGTCTCTCAGTCTGTCTCTTAATCTCCCTCTTTAAGGGACGTGGGTATTTAAGGCATTTGCCTCTTAACTTTAACCAGCATCAGGACCTTCACAAACATGCGCATCCCTCCTGAACTCGCTCCCCGTCAGCGGCTGGGAAAGATGCAGAGCTCATGGCAGCGCAGACTCATCCCTCACTTGAAAGGGATGTTTCAGCAGGTGGGTAAACTTCCTACTCTTATAAACTTGCTGAGATTTTCTCCATATTTGAGTTTAGACATTCAGGAAATCAACTGCCTGGAAAGTAATAAGACCCAAGCCCCCAGCAAAAATGCCTCCTTGAGTTCAAAGCTCTGCCCTCAGTCAAGAGGAGGGTGCCTCCTGCCCTCCTTGGGGGTGTCAGACACCTTTGATAATCTAATTATGGTTCATTTCCCACAAGGTGCACGTGTGCTCAATGTGCTCGATGAGTTCAAGGACTCCTGACACAGTGCTGACAGAATTAGGATTCACTGACCACATTTCTATGGCTTGTGCGAACTCGGAGAAGAGAATGCTCTCGGCTGTGTCCCCTTCGTGTTTCTGTGATATATGTCCTTGGGAATGAACGCCCTTCTGCTCTAATTTCTAGAGAAAGATTACCTAGACTGATGTTTTCAGAATAGGGTTGCCAGATGTAGCACATAAATGTCCTGCTAAATTTGGGTTTCAAGAAACAAAATGTGGTGTAGACACACAATGGAATACTATTCGGCCTTAAAAAAGGAAGTTCGGACACATGTGGCAACATGGATGAAGCTCAAGGACATTATTCTAAGTGAGATAAGCCAGTTTCACAATAAGATAAATACTGTATGATTCCACTCATGTGAAGTTTTTAGAGTTGTCAAACTCATAGAAACAGGAAGTAGAAAGATGAGTGCCAGAGGGGGAAAGGAGAGTTGATGTTTTTTCAGTAAAGGGTTAGTTTTGTAAGATGAAAGCGTTCTAGAGTTTGGTCCCATGATAATGTAAATATACTTAATTGTATATTTAAAATTTGTTAAAATAGTTTGATGTTATGTGTATTTTAGCCCAATTAAAAAAGGTGAATATGCAAAATTTTTAATTTCAGGTACACAAGGAATAATTTGTAGTATAAGTATATCTCATGAAGTGTTTGGGATATACTTTTACTTCAGAAATTCAAATTGAACTGGGTGTCCTGTATTTCACCTGGGAATCCTAGTTTGGATAAACACTCTGAAAGGCAGTGTCCCCTTTTTGCCTTGGCTGACAGGAAGCCTCGATGTCTGGCTACAGGAAGCAATTTATCGTAATGTCATTGCCTCCATGTGCCCTTCGGGGAGTTTCCTTATAGGAATTTACATTGAATTTTTATCATAAACGTACTACTTTGTAATCAGGAAAACACCCAATAAAGATACAATTTTAATCACATACTTTATAAAGTGACCCCCTGATATTCACCTGTAACTGAAAAATAAAATTTTAAAAATATAGATTTTCAAATCTTTAATGATACAGAAGTGTGGCTTTTCCTTCCCCAACAGCCTGAGATTCCAATTCTCTGTAGGAGCCAAGGTGAGGAGCCTCATGCGAGAGGAAGTGAGCAGGAGGCTGGGCCATATGCCACTTGAAAAATTGCATTCAATGCTATGATTGCTTTGATGTGATTGGCTTTGAGATATTAGCTTTATTTTTAATTCTAAAAGGACATTAAAGAAGGACTCTTTAAGTTCCTCTGAAGGGGGCATGGGTTTTCAATACTGAAGACGAGATGCCAGGGATTGGCACTTCATCCTCACCCCTCAGCAGGAGGCACCCACTGCGTTCTGCTCAAAATTCCCCCAAATGCGGTGACTCAGCTACTCTCTGTTTTGGTTTCCATTTCTCCTGCCACTATAATCAAATGTTTTCTCTCTCTGTGTGTGTTTTTTTTAATCTTATTGTTTCCCCCTAGGTTTGTCTGTTTATGTGTTTGCTGTAGGAACTAAGAATATTCAGTTCTGCTACAGAGTTGGGAAAAGCAAACAGAATGGGTGAAACGCATAAGATGTGTTGAGCTGAGATAGTGAATAAACAGGTAGGTGGCTTGTGAGACGTGGGCAGAACTTACGAGCTGTGTTCCGTGAGAACTTTCAAACGCAAAAGGTGTGAAAAGTTGAAAGAACAATGCGACGCGCCCCACACCGCTCTCCCACCTCCTTAGTCATGTGCATGGGGACCACCCCATGTCTGGGACAGTGGGTAGGGACTGGGCTTTCACAGGAAGTTGCTGGGCGCCGGGCAAAGATTGTCCTCTAGGAATCAGGGGATCTGACTTTTATATCTGGCTCTACTAATGCAGCAAAGCTCCATGGTTCGGACCTGACACATTAGAAGTGGGGTCCATTCTCCATGCAGCCCCACGCTCAGCCAGGGGTGGGTTTCTCAGATACGATTCTTAGCTCCACAGTGGGGAAGAGGAGATGTTGAGAGAGGAGTAGGACAGGTGAGGCCATGGTCAGACACCTGTCTTGGGAAGTGGAGTGTCCATGTCCCTCGTATTCTCCCAGCTGGGAGAGGATGCCCCAACCAGCCCTGGAATCCTCCCCGTCAGGATTTCCGCAGGAGTGGACAGCGCCCGGTGCTGAATCACATCCAGGAAGAAGGCGGATTTGCATCCTGCAGCCAGAGCCCAGGAAGGTCAGTCAGTCAGCTGCATAGGTTTTCCCTGGTTATTTGACAAACCTTGAAATAATGCAAATCTGTGTTTTCCCGGTGACACATCTTAGACTTCCCTGATGGTGTCATGGTGAGGTGTTACGGTGAGGTTTTAATACTCCTCGCTGTGCAAAGTCAGGGAAGATGTGGCTTTGCCAGTGTCTCAGGTTCAGCATCTCCTATGGCTCTAGATTATTCCCCTCTGGACCTCAACAGGGCTGTTGGGAGGATGGGAGGTCAGCGAGACAGGCAAGTTGACAAGTAGAAGCCCGGCACTGGTTCAGGGTGGATCACCGAGTGTCCCTTTCCAAGTGGACTGTCCCAGGTGTAAGAGGAGGGCATTTTATTACCAGCCAATGAAAAAGATTGGAGCTGACAAGTGGAAGCCTCCACATATTTTCCTTCCTTAGTGAATTTGGTAGATAAAAATGAGAAGTAACAGTCCCTAATAGCGATGGTTTTATAGACCCTAGCAAAAAGAGTGTTTAAGTCATATCATATTAAACACTAAACGCCTTACTCACGCAACATTATACCCAAGATCGTTCAGGCATTTAAGGCAGGAAGTATGCAAATTAAGATCTCCCTCATCAATTCCTGCTTAGGCCTCTTGAGCATTTATGTTCTCAGGAAACTCGTCTTAAATGTGCCTTAAATGTACATGTGTGGGAGGACTTACTATTTATCAGGAGAAATGTTCCAAGTCTGTAAAGAGCATCAGAAACTTGATGATTATTAAGTCAAAATGAAGTCAATTTTGCTTCAAAATTCCTTCTGATTTTATCAGTGACATAAAATTGTTTTCATGTCCTAATGGCCATGCGTATACTGTTTTGGTGCAATATTTTTATATACTAGTACTCTGTGTGTGTATTTCTACGCATTGAGAAAGTCCACTGGTTCTCATTTTTAATGAATATTTAGTAGAAACAAATCCTTTGGATTTGGGGATGTTTTAAGCCTTAGTTTCGACAAGCAACTTATATTTTGTTTTTTTTTCCAAAGACATCTTAAGTGAGAGAAAGAGTAATAGCATCTATCACACATTCGTCTGGTCCTGCCAATTTCCCGATGACAGGGAATCTTTTTGGGGCCTTTATTTCACTGTTTACATTTGAGCCCTCCTGGCCCAGCAGTGCCTGTGGACAATTTGCACAGAGTATTCCCTTCTCTAATACTCTTAACTGAGTTAGAACTAAATGGATTATTTTCAAAGAGTACAGAGTCACTTGGAGGAACCTGCAGCCAACTGCTGATGGAAAAAGATATGAAAAATACCATCATTACCATCATTATTATGCTAAATGAAATAAGCCAGGGAGAGAAAGACAAATACCATATGATTCCACTTATGTGTGGAATCTAATGAACAAAATAAACTAAAAAACAGAAGAGAAACAGACTCACTGGTACAGAGAACAGACTGACAGCTGTCAGAGGGGAGGGTGTTGGGGGCCTGGGTAAAAAAAAAGGCGAAGTGATTAAGCAAAAACAAAAAGAAAAAAAGAAATGATCTAATGTGAGTCCTGTCAGGTTAGTAAGAGGGAGCCAGGCAAGGAGTTTAAGCATTGGAAACGCCAAATACAAAAACCCAAGGCTAAATTCATAATCTGATGTATAGGGAACACCAGCAATCACCCCCTCCAAATGAACACCCCAAATATCAAGTATACCAGTTATCTATAGCTATGTAATAAATTACTCCAAGTTTAGCAACTAAACAACCAGAGAGCCCACTGCATGGGAGAACATATTTGCCAATGTTATCACTGATAAGGGTTTAATCTCCAACATTTATAGGGAACTCATACAACTTAACAAAAGGAAGATAAACAATCCAATCAAAAAATGGGCAAAGGACCTAAATAGACACCTTTCAAAAGAGGACATTCAGAAAGCCAAGAGACATATGAAAACATGCTCAAAGTCACTAATCATCCGAGAGATGCAAATCAAAACAACAATGAGGTACCATCTCACACCTGTCAGAATGGCTATCATCAACAAATCAACAAACGACAAGTGCTGGAGAGGATGTGGAGAAAAAGGAACACTCGTGCACTGCTGGTGGGAATGCAGACTGGTGCAGCCACTATGGAAGACAGTATGGAGTTTCCTCAAAAAACAAAACATGGAACTCCCATTTGACCCTGTGATCCCACTTCTAGGAATATATCCCAAGAAACCAAAAACACCAATCAGAAAGGATATATGCACCCCTAT